TCATTCATGTTTACTAAACATATGAACACAACGAAAGAATGTGAACTAAAATATAATGAATTTAAAATATATATGAATCTAATGTGTCTTAATTTCATTGGTTGGATAAAGATGAAATATGTATTTTAAGACGTTTATAATTTTATAACAATTATTTTAACATGTGACTAGTTCTTTTAGATGATACATTTAAAGCATAAGTTATTTTTATGACAACGGTTTTTTTTTGGTATATTTCAATATCTCGTCATAAAAAATTATCACATGATAACATGTAAGATATAATAATCCTCGAACACTTTACTATTTATAATAATTAACCCTAGAAACAATCGTCAAATATAAGACAAAACACATTTAAGAAAAAATATACAAAGGATCCGTAACCAGCAACTTCTTGAGTCAGCCCACACCACGTCACCACCCCGTTACAAGAACATCATATAAAAGATAAAGTAGATACACAACAACTTGTTAGATGGCTTAACGGCTGGGTGCCTACAAAAAGTTCGAACCCAATGACTTAATATCTACATTTCAAAACCAGTTTACGTCTTGAAGACACGTTTTAAAAAGTTGTTAACTTATAACTTTGATGCATAAGAATTTAATATAACCTATAACAACTAATAATATAAAAAATTATAAATATAAAAATTCAAGCTTATTAATACGTTAAGGTATTGAAGATTTTTTTAATGAGATGTTGAAGAAGTCATACAAACATTCCCTACCCTCCACGAGTGGGGGCTGCCCATGCTTTATCATTACACTTTAACAAAGTCCACATGTTGACTCGTCTCAATATAGGCTAGTCAGTCTCGCTTACACACCACCTAAACATATCGTACACGTTCTCTAATTACGTAATTAATTATAAGACACTTGCATCGTCCTAACTCAGCGTTTAATATTAATTTGGTTATTGTTGCACTCAGCTATAGTATATGCTACTTCAGATGTTATGTATGATTTTGCTGATGGTAGGGGACCTCGTGCAACTCATCATAACCATCTTGCCTCCACCCCTTAATGCGAGCTTACTGCATAAAGGTTCAAGTGCAGATTAAGACACAGTTTTCTTAGTTTGATATTATTATATAATGTCGGAGTTTAAAAGTGGATTATGTTGTTTTATGATCTTTAAGGACTCCATCTTCTTTGTGAGAACTCTTTCTATCTATTTTCGTTCATCTCCTCATACCTGCATGTATCACATGACTGAAATTTTAAGTAATTTATACATATGAAAGTGATCTAAGGTGTGTGGAAGTATATGAAGGTGATGAAAGTTCATGTTTTTTTTTATTAACCTGGATATCCAACCCGCTATGTGAGCCGACTAATTCTAGGGCGACCACCTGCTTTGCAGATAGCCCGAAGTCACTGCATTTGAACCTTCGTGGCCACAAGGGGATTTTTATTCCTCCTTGGATTTGAACTTGGGACCTTTTGGTACTTTTGACCTTTGGAGCCAAGCTCAAACCAATCAGACACCACCCTTGTGGTTTACTTATGGAGGTTTTTGTGTTGATAGGTTTTGGTGTTTTATGTTATGCTTTTTATTTTTCAATATTGTTCAATTATTATCTTGTTGAAAAGATGTATCTTCTAGCCCATAGGACTCGGCAAATTCACCCATCAACGAGGACTTCAATCACGAATAGTTCTCACTCACGCTATGACACTCCATATCTTTCAACGCATCAGAAAAGACTTTCGTTCACACCAAATGAACTGATATTTACTATTTCTTGATTATTCATTGATGGAACAACATCACACCAAATATGGTCGGTGATAGTATTTACCGGCGGATTACAGATAAATTTTCAATCACCAACAGAAAAATCTATCAGTAATTCGTCAGTGACAGCTGAAAAATCCGTTCCGTAAAGCTTTTTTTATTTTGTAGTGAAATACATATACACTACATTATAAAACAAATATATGTTAAATAGTAATTTGAAAAATATTAATTCTCAAGATTGTCAATATTTTTGAGGTAATCACTTGATCCCCCAACACACACATACAATCTGAATATTATGCATATATTTTAATAAATATACAACGAAAATCATGTATGAATTTTAATAAACTAGAAGCGTACCCGCGTAATACAGCGAGATACATCGTGATTTTAATATTTTATTTTATTATTTATCTCAGTTGATGTTATAATATGGCTTTATGTGATTTTGAGAAAACGATGATG